CCAGCCAGCCCTGCCCAGGGGGGTGCACATCTGCTCCAGTTGTGTGACATCTCCTTCTTCCACTTCTTCAACCTTGGGGTCTTTCTGTATTGAGTTATGGCTTCTGTGCCTACGAATCTCTTCTCTATTGCTCAGAGAGCGGTTCGTCCAACAGGCATCAGCAAGAATAAAGTCTTAACCTTGCGACAGGCATCAGCAAGAATAAAGTCTTAACCTGCTAAAGGGACTCGCAGCCCCTTACTCATGGGATTGGGATCATGCCAGGACACTTCACCTGACGTAGCTATTAAAGGCCATGGGACAAAGACTCTACTTTCAATTTCAAGCATATCCATATAAAATAAACCATATTTTATTGCCCTAAGTGGGAAGCATGGGCTGTGAGAATTAATTACAACAGTGGGAAGGTGGAAAAGGCCTCCAAAGGCCACAGATGCCCACCTCGCTGCCCACCTTCCTGCTGCTGCGGGATGCAGGGCACCATCTTGGGGCATCAGCAGGAAAACCACTGGCTTCCACGCGGGCCGAGCACTTTTCAAACTGATATTTGTGTGCTGCTGCAAGGGCTGACAGGCTGGTCGGGGAACTGGGACACTGGGATGGGGCGAGGCGGAAACTCGATGGGGCATCACGACACGGACAGGGCACGGAGGCATTCGATCCCTTCTGATCTGCCCGATAAGAAGTCTTCGTTTTGGTTTTGTCTTTAAAAAGAAACACAATTTTTCCTTATTTTTATCTCTATTTGGTGTAATCAGATCACTCCCACCACTGAAGCTCATTTCCTGCTGTTGGGTACATTGAAGCTATTATTATTATTTTTCCATGGGCCTCTCTGTTTCTAATTACTCTGTGGTGATTTTATGTGAATATGTTGAGTCTGTGCCTCCTTTAATACCTGCCTCATGCTGGGTCTATTGTATACGTTAGTACCCCGACACATTTTTCAGATATTTCCTGCTATTATTTACCTCTTTATTTCAGATCTTACTACTTTTGGGTATATGATAAAGCTGTTTTCTGATGGGGCCAGAAGGGCAAGCAGACAGAAAGCATACGGCTACGCAAGGCCATTTAGAAGTAACTCTTACTAGTGGTGGTTTTAATTGATGAAATCCTGTGGGATCTGTTGTTCTTTTTTTTAATGGAAGTGAGAGTTTTGCTGCAGTAGAGGCGATAGAGACTGATTTTGCAGAAATATAATCTCTCTGTATGCTCACACATAAATAGCCTATGTGGTGCTGCTACTGCTGCTCTGGCAACAGCCGTGTAGCTCTTGTGCTTATAAATCACTGCTTCTTTTTTTTTATTTGCCAGACATTGAAATTTTCCATGTGTGGGAGGTCTCTCATAAACTGATTTTATTTGGAAGAGAGCAGCAAAAATGTTTTTTGAGAAATGAAGGGGAGAAACATTTATTGGAAAATGAAAGGGGGGAGAATACATATATATCAATTTTTGGCTATATTAAAGCCTTGTAAGATTTATGGTGCCATTGCCCTCCTGAGCCCCGAGCTCACAGGCGCGGGCCCTGGCCCATCTGCTGCACTACCAGTGCAACTGGTGCTTTGCAGAGATTATTCCACTTCCCAAATTAAACTTCTGTCTTGATGAACCGGGGCTCTCAGCTGGGTGGAGGCAAAGCGGTGCTCTGAAAGCACTCACTCCTGCTGGATTTTATGCTTATCCCTTCTGAAAATCCTAAAGCACCCCGAGCATTGTCCAAGACCTGAGCATGTTACTGTGGGGCCACGGGGACCAAACTTGGCAGCAGCCCTGGTCACCTGCGAAACTTTCATGCTGTGGGTGCATTATTTTTCCCAGCAGCTTCATCGCCTGACTGACGCAGGAGAGTGCGTCTCTGCAGCTGCGAGGAGAGCCTGTCCCTCCCTCGAGCAGGGCTTTTCTGGGCTCTTGTCCAGCACTAAATATGGAAAATTCCAACAATCCTGTCCGTTTTCAAGCTGTTCGGGATCTTTTAACTTGCAAAACAAAGATAAATGAAACTGGTTATTTCACAGCAGATTCTAGTTGGAAAAAAACAACTGCCATGCCAGATGCCCCGATGAAGGTACCTGGTAGCTCCTGGCACAGCAGAGCTGCCATCTCAGTGAGTTAGACCTCACCAAAGACCAGAGATACGCTGACCTGTGGCTTTTAAAAAAGCTCCCTTTGATTCTAATCTGGATAATTTGTGAACAGTAACAGGCCGTTTCCTGCCTGTCACCTGCATTACACCTGGCCTCTTCAGCTGTGAGATATGTGAAATTATGAAAGAATCACCCTTTTTCTGAAGCTTTGTCTGAGGTCAGCTTCTCATCTGTGTACTCCAGCTATTTTTCTCCATGAAACTTTAACAATCTTATTGTAAACACTCCATTTAGATTTACCCCCCTGCCTTTGTAGTTTCTACGTGTAACACGCATATATGCACTTTGACTGATCCCGCTGACCCGATAACGCTCATAACTGCACGAGAAAGCTCTAACAGCCCACAGGCTCCAAAGAGCAGAGCTGGATGGGAGGCTCTAGGTACGGCCAGCAGAGCTTGGGCAGCAATGCAGGGATATAACAAAAATTTCTGGCTGGTATGTAAAGGAAGGAAGATTTTCCTAAATATATTAAGCACTCTAGAGCCACACTTATCAGAAATTTGGAGTTTTGTTTTTTCAAAGTTTAACATGTTTTCAAGCATTGGGGAAAGGAATTCCTAGATTCCATGCTCGCTGCAGTGAAGCTCAGCGAGTAACACAACTCACACAAGCACTTTGGCAGTTTTCCTCCAAACCCAGCTATGAAGTAAGTTGCTTCGCTCGAAATCCCAGGCCTTGTTTTCCTATCTTTTGGCTAATGACAATCTGCATCTGCTAGGCTATACAGCTACACATGTAGCTGCCAGCCTGCTTTAAAAGGAATGATAACAAGGCAGCATGATCCTATTAGCTCTGATTGTGTTTGTGCTTGTTCCATTTAATCAGAACAGTTTTGTTGTGTCAGTCTAGTGTAAAGGATATATCGTCACATAGAAGCGCAACTCTGAAAAAACAGGTGGGGATGTATTTTGAAATACAACTGTTAGCCATGCCCTTTGCTTAACTTAGTGCAGCAAAGAAAACAGACCAGACGTTTTCAAATATTTGCAGCTTTACTGTGTGTTGCTTGTTCAACACAGTATTAACTACCAATACTGTAACTACTTTAAGAAAGCATTAGCAACCTTTTGGATTTCCAGAAAAGGAAGAACCCAGCCACCTTTAATTGTTGCTTCAAAACTGCCTGATTTTTCTCAAATAGGAAATTCCAAGGCAGCACTCTGGCATTATCTAGTGCCCCAGATCAGGGGACAGGACTTCAGGTGTTACTTCCACAGAAGCATATAAAGCTCAACATACATGAGCTAGGAAATAATCCTTAGCCTTGGAGCCAGTTACACACGCTGCTCCCTTCCTTTTGCTGGTTCTGAAACAGCAAAATGCAACAAATCAATAAGGCAGAGATTACACAAGTAGCTGTTTGTTCCACTGCTGCTTCCTCTCATCTCCCTGGGCCACACTTCAGGAACAGCTGCTCAAGCAAACTGAAAAATGAAAAACGAGACCCCAAGGCTGCTGACAACATTCATCTCCCCTTCTGTACTTTTCATTTAGATTTAGGGGGTGTCATGCAACTGTTAATGCATTGCTTTGTGTTTGGCAACTCTCTTAACAGTCTGTCTCAGAGGTTTGCCAGCAAAAACAATGCTGAAATAATAAAAAAATCATCAGGAAATTAAACAATTTAGTAGGCACACTTCAGCCTAAACTAGCAGATTTGTTCAAGCACAGAAAGTTCAGTATCAGAGCCTACGTGCATCCCTGTTTTATGATATTAAACAAATACGGCATTACGAATTCCAGAGTTCACCATTGCACTGGAACTGGAGAGTAAATATTCTACTTAATCACATGCAGAGCATACTACCAGTTTGATAGAATACGGTACTGAAATGCATATGCACGCAATAGTTACTGCAACTGCGGGCTCACACATACCACTTTTTCATAGCAAAAACTCATCAAATTTCTCTTGATATTACATGAACAGAACTAGTTTACAGGATCTGGATTGATTCGTGTTTCAATGAAGAACCCACCACTTGTACTAAAGAAATACTTCGTTTAAAGGAATAATCCCAGAAGTCAAATACAAGAACCATAAATAAAAGCGGGACCACCACCATAAGAGCAGGAACATCTGTATGGATTTAGTGGAATTCAGTCACTGTCAACATTAAAGCACATCTCACCGCTTCCTTTAAGTTGCTGTAGCTGGATGCTGGCAATGAGATTCATCTCTACCTCCTTACTTGTCAATCTAATATAAACCTGGCTAACAAATCTTTATTTGCTATGCTCCAGTTTGACTTGTGGTCAAAGGAATACTACATACACAGGAATACTACAACCAATTAATGATTTAGATAAATCACACAGAAGTAAAATCTCTTTTAAAATATGTGAGCCTGTTTTTTAACTAAAATAATTAAAAGTAAACTTTTTAAATATTTTGTCATTAGCTCCACATAAATTAGCAGAAGGAGCTAGTACTTTTCACCACAAAAAAGCTCTAGCATTATTCGTAAAAATATAATTAAACGCCAGTGTAACTGTTCTACATATGTACTGGGCAAAGGGCTCAGTTCTTTTCTACTTGGAATCTCTTTTAAAACATGTAAGCCTGTTTTTTAACTAAAATAATTAAAAGTAAACTTTTTAAATATTTTGTCATTAGCTCCACATAAATTAGCAGAAGGAGCTAGTACTTTTCACCACAAAAAAGCTCTAGCATTATTCGTAAAAATATAATTAAACGCCAGTGTAACTGTTCTACATATGTACTGGGCAAAGGGCTCAGTTCTTTTCTACTTGGACTTTCTAGCAAGGAAGAAAAACTGCAGATCAAATGATTCCCTGTGATGGTTTTTAATTAGAATTTAAGAAAAAGGCTAGAAAACTAACCACGCTCTGTTAAACAGGGTACAAAATCTTTATTCACCAATAAGTTAAGTGTTCTTATAAATAGATGTTCTAGTCTTTTGTACACTGTATTGAGTATAAAGCTAAGCTTCAATTATTCCTCAGACTCTGATCCTTCTTCATCTTGACTGATTTGGAAGTAGCGTAGTTCGTATGTCTCCTTGTCAGATGCGACGACACGAAGCCAGTCACGCAGATTGTTCTTCTTGAGGTACTTCTTTGTGAGGTATTTTAGGTACCTTAAAACCAGTAATTATGCATTAGAACCTTCTCATTTAACCCTTACTGCTGTCTGTGCTCCACCCAAGACATGGTCCTTGCAGGGCAACAACACACTAATTATATCCAGAAATAAAAAAATATCTTCTATAACAGATAATAAACATGTATTTTCATTCCAGATACATAAGAATTTATTATTTGATACTTTTTGACTACATAGCACAACGTCAGTAACTCAAAAGCATTGAGTACTGGTTCTAAACCTTGGTCTAACACAATAGATATCGGTGCACCTGTATCAGTGAAATGAAGGGGGGGATGCAGGGAAGGAACCGTACCTCTAACCAGTGCACTCGCCTGTTGTGTGCCCTAACGCACTAAGCAGTTTAAGGCTTCGTTCGACTTAAGGGGTTCTTTTGCAACAACAAGTATTGCATACACATACATTATAATACAGCCAATTAAGTAACAAAACAGCCACCCGTGACATGAATTCAGTATGACTTCTAAAAGCACCTCTTTCCTTGATATACTTCTAACGACCTACATAAAGCATCGCTGCGTTACGATGTTTATACTAGAGGAAGCATTAATTTGCAATCAAGTCCCGTCTTTTAAAAAGCAGTTTTTAAAATATCTAATATTATAAATTTATTTGAATTACATCTTTCACTAATATTTGTAAGCGCTATGAAGGTTAGCGCTAACCTTCTCTGCACGTATCGGAAGCGTGTCACGTTCAACATATGACTGTTCAAAATCCACTGTTGCAAGTACCACAAAAGGAAACCTGTGCCAACCTTTTAGAAAATTGTTTCTCGGATGTCACTGTGATCTTGTTCTTCAGACGTTCAATGTGAACTGTGTTGCCCAAGTTTCCAGTTTTTCCATTGACCTTAACCTTCTCCTTTAGGAACTGTTCCTGTTTCAACATTAAAGAAATAGAACACTAGGGAATGGCACCCTAGGTATGAACTAGGGAAGGGACCCTAGCCATATGGCAGTATTAAAAATCACCGTTTACTTATGTCCTGATAGCAAGTACTTACAATGCAGTAAGATTTTACAGTGTGTAATCAATCACCCCCGTGTTAAAACAGGATTCAATTTAAAGTAGTTCTATTCATGGATAGGTATGAACCATCTTGTCTGTAAGAGACATCTAAACCCAAGAAACTTTCAAAAAGTGACGATAATTTAAAGAACAGCTATTGATTTTACTAGCTTAAAATGTAACTTTTCAGTTGTAATTCAGTTGTTGTACTGTATGTACTAAGGCTGTTATACCGTGCACGAGAATTACGAGCAAAACAACGACTTACAAAATTCCCAGAATCAAAAATTCCATCTTCCACAGGATGGGTCAAGTCAAGGCAGAACTTCCAGGTTGACTTTTTAGATTTTCTGTCCTTTTGCTACAACACAAAAACCCCCGACGTTAGCGGTTAACAACCCACACCCGAAAAACGCCTATAAGAGCGATGGGGGACA